ACAACAAAATCAACACAAGCTACCAAAATTTCTGGGATACAATCAAAGCAGTGCTAAAAAGGACTTTCATAGCATTAAAGGCTTACATCAAAAAAAAGAAAAATCATAAATTAAAAACCTAATGTTACACTTCAAGAAACTAAACAAAGAAGAATAAACCAAACCCAAAGCTAGCAGAAGAAAAGAAATAACAAAAATCAGAGCAAAATAAATAAAATTGAAACAAAAAGAACAGTACAAAGGATCAACGAAATGAAATGTTGGTTCTTTGAAAAGATAAACAAAATCGATAGACCACCAGCTAGATTAACCGGGAATAGAAGAGAAAAGATTCTAATAAGTTCAATCATAAATGAAAAAGGGGACATTACAAGTGATAGTACAGAAATACAAAATATCATCTGAGACTACTGCGAAAACTTCTACATAGACAAACTAGAAAACCTAGAGGAAATGGACACATTTTTAGAAACACACAACCTCTCAAGCTTAAATCAGGAAGAAATAGAAATCTTGAACAGAGAAATAATGATTAGGGAGATTGAAACAGTAATAAAAAAAATCTCCCAAGAACAACCAAAAAAACCCAGGACCAGACACATTCACAGCTGAATTCTACCAGATCTATGAAGAACTGGCACCTATCCTACTGAAACTTCTATAATATTGAGAAGGGGAGAATCCTCCCTAATCCATTCTACAAAGTCAGTGCCACCCTGATACCAAAGTCAGGAAATTACACAACAAAATGAAAACTACAGACCAATGTCTATCATCATGATCATAGACATAAAAGTCTTCAACAAAACACTAGCAAATCAAATTCAACAGCACACGAAATGGATAATGCACCATAATCAAGTGGTTTTCGTCCCAGGGATGCAAGGATGTTTCAACATATGCAAATCAATAAATGTGATTCACCAAATAAACGGAATTAAAAACAAAAACCATAATCTAGCACTCCTCCAAGATAAAAACCCTCAACAAACTAGGCATAGAATGAACATACCTCAAAGTCATATGTGACAAACCCACAGCCAACATCATACTGAATAGGGAAAAGTTTAAAGCTTTCCCCCTACGAACTGGTACAAGACGAGGATGCCCACTGTCACCACTTTTATTCAACATAGTACTAGAAGTCCTAGCCAGAGCAATCAAGCAAGAGAAAGAAATAAAGGGTAACCAAATCAGGAAAGAGAAGGTCAAACTATCTGTTTGCCAATGATATGATCTTATATTGAGAAAATCCTAAAGACTCCCATAAAAGACTCTTAGAATTGATAAATAAATTCAATAAAGCCTCAGGTTACAAAATTAATGTACACAAATCAATAGCATTTCTATATACTAGTTACAGTCAAACTGAGAGTCAAATCAAGAACTCAATCCCAATTACAATAACTGCAAAGAAAATAAAATACCTAGGAATATACTTAACCAAGAAGGTGAAAGATCCCTACAAAACTCTAAAACACTGATGAAAGAAATCATAGATGACACAAACAAATGGAAAAACATCCCTTGCTCATGGATTGGAAGAATTAATATTGTTAAAATGCCCATACTACCCAAAGTGATTTATAGATCCAATGCAATCCCCATTAAAATACCATGTCTTTTTTCACAAAACTAGAGAAAACAATCCTAAATTTCATATGGAATCAAAAAGAGCCTGAATATCCAAAGCAATCATAAGTAAAAAGACTTAAATGGATTAATTTCAGAAAATGTAACTGGAGTTTTGGGATTTCTGATTATTTACTCAATTATAATTATAATTGACTCACCTCAACATCTATAGAGAATGATTTTTAATTGTCACAGAGTAAGAGACAATTTTAAAATGTTATAGAAATTTGCTTAAAGAAATTTAATTTGAGGGTAAAACATTTTTATTTAATCTGTATGACTCATAGTTTATCCTTAAGCTCCTTGAAAGCAGGAAACTTATCTTCTCCATCCCTCCATTGGTACCAGGTAACCAGCAGCATCCCGAGTTATTGGTGCCCATAATTCTTCTCATGTAATGACTAAGCTTTGGTTACATGTATAAAACTGCAGCTACAATAATAAGCTAATAAGCTCTTATATCTATGAGACATTATAGCTTTGGATCATCTTTATTTCAAGCCAGAGCTTCTTAAACAATCACTTTTTTAAGTGATTAGTTTCAAAGTAACTTCTTCATGTAACATTTTGTCATTGAAAAACTTATCATATTTTCCCATTATAATGCCAAAATGTAAACCTCCATGAAGGTAGAAATTTTTCTTTTTTTTAATTTACCCCCTATCTCCAGCACCTAGAACAGTGTCTGCACATGGTAGCCACTCTGATATTTGTTGAATGTATGAATACTCTTTTTTAAGACATAGTGAAAAAATAGCTGCTTAGGTTGCTTTCATTGTATGGAATGAAGACCCCAGATTGGTGTCAGAAAATCTCAATGATTGTCTCAGTCTTGCTACAGATTTGCTGTGTGTTCTTAAGTATGCTATTTAATCTCCTTGTGACTTTCTTGTCTGTGAAATGAAGACATTTGATCTGACAAATGATAAGGTCCAGTTCACATTTTAAAATACATAATTCACTGATTCATGATTAGCAGCATGGATTTTGCAAGTGGCTGGCTGGGCACAGAGTTACAGTTTATGGCCCTGGAACCAGTGTTGCCAATTGACATAAACAGAGCTTGGAACTAAGACTTTGGTCTTTGGCAACTAAATATCTGGCTCCAACAATTGAACTAGTCACCAACTTGATTTAAAAAATATAATGCTCTTCTATACTTTGGCATGGAAAATTAATTTTTAAGAATAAGGAAAACTAAATCTGCCAGAAGAGCAAAATGTAACATAATGACAAAAAGAACCAGGTTTAAAGCCTGGCTCCAAAATTTTCTGAGACCTTGGCCAAGTAACTAAATCTCTTTGTACCTAAATTTTGGCATCTATAAAATGGGATAATGATAATAATATCTAAATGAAGTAGTTTATTGGAAGTTCCTGGGACATGGTAAGCTTTCAAAGCCTTAACAACAGGCTGATACAAAGGAATTAGATAGGTGGGTAGAAGTTAATTCATTAAAAATAAATCTGTATATTCGACTTGAGGAAAACATTGAGAGGTGAAATTGAGACAAGGCTGCCTAGTTCTGTATTGTGGCAACTCCACTTACCAACTGTAATGACCTGGTCAGTTTCTTAACATCTCTGCATCTCAGTCTCCTCTTCTGCAAAATGGTGATAACAATAGCTCCTATCTCATTAGGGTTATTATGAATTTTAAGTAAAATAATCTATGCAGTATGCTTAGAACAATATCTAGCATATAGTAAGCACTCAATAAATGCAGTTGTTCTTATTTTGTTCTGTTAAGCTTATCCAGAGGTGGGAACATTGAAACAGATGTTGGCAGCAGTCGGCTCAGTGGATGAAGAGAAAGTAATGGGAATTCAGTGGGACCAAACAGAAATGCCGTGCAAATGCAAGACACTGAGAGTTCCCACTTAAGTCATTGACAATATATATCACAGCCTCCAATTTATCCCTAAGCTTAGGTGATGAACTGTCCTCTTAATCAAGAAGTCTGCCCTAGGGAGAGGTCTTTTAATCTGCATGCAGTTTAGAAGATATTGCTAAATAGTGCTCTACAAGTTGTAAATAGATTGTCAATATTTGCAACAAGGCAACAGTTGTGATATCACAGTGAGTCATTACCCACTTTCTGTTCACTGAGGATCCCAAAAATCATCTTGTTTGCAGAGAAGTGAGACATTGGGGTGGAGGTAACATTTCAGCACAGAGTGTCCTTTAGCCAAAGTCATGCTGCCACAGACAGATTGAGAAATAAAGGTACGATGGAAGAACACGGGCCAAAAAAAATTAATAAGACAAAGTTTCCAACGAGCACTACATTTTTTAAAGTGCATTTCTTTTTGGTGAGCTTTAAAGAAATACAAAATAAGCCTATGTATTTCATGACCGAGAGGTCCTTTTCAATTAACTAGAAAAAATATGGTTATGTTTGTGTACACATTACTTCGTTTTAAAAAAATAATGTATAATTGTTAAGAAATAGGCAACCACTCATTCTTTCAAGTGGATTGAGTAGAAGGGCCTTCTTAGCAGAAAGTGATAGGAAGTTTTCTCCCGTAAAAAACGTTGCTCCTTACACATTAAGGTCATTTAGGCTTAACAGGTGCTTCTTTTTTTAAACAGCTTTATTGAGGTAAGACTGATATTCAAAAAAGCTATACATATTTAATGTGCACAACTTGATGAGTTTGGACATATACTTCTTTAAATATCCGTCAAAAGTGTCAGGTGTCTCCATTATCCACACGTTAGAGTACAATTTCTTTTATCACTGACTTTTCTCTCTTCCCCAACAGAGTATTTGACCTTGAAGGCAGCGGAACTTCAAATGGAAGATTTAAATTAAATTAAATTAGAAATCAAATTAAATTAAAAACTGGGGGACTGCTAATGGAAGTTAGCTTGAATTAGGAACTCTGGTCAGATGTCCAAGGAATCATTTGGGAAACAGGAAGAAAGCACTAAGGAGAATAGAGACTAAATCACCTTAGTTTGCAGTTGTACTAGGATTTTCATAAGTAGACAGTCCATTTCCGGAATCTCATGTATAAGACTTAAGCTATAAGATAATAATGCTCAAAGCACTTGCTAGAGTGTGTGCCTGTTCATTACAACAGGGTGAATGTTAATGGGTATATAACTTGCAGGACCCAAGGCAAAATGAAAATGCAGGCCCCTTGTTCAGAAAAGAGGGAAAAAGGGTCATTAAAGGTACTAAAGGATAATACTGTTCCCTGTCTTCCACCATCCCTCTCTTGACTGGTCATAGTGGGATTTGTTTGCTATTTAATGTCATTCCAAGTAAAGAAAAAAAAACAGTATAAGGTATTAGCAAGAATTTTGCCATTCATTTTTAAATGGTGCAATGCAAATATAATGCTTATTCCTTCCTTAAAGAAGGAAGGAAAACCTACAATTGTAGAGGAGGATGATCCTGAGTTGTTTAAACAAGCAGTATATAAACAGACCATGAAACTCTTTGCTGAGCTGGAAATTAAAAGGAAAGAGAAAGAAGCCAAAGAGATGCATGAAAGGAAACGACAAAAGGAAGAAGAGATTGAAGCTCAAGAAAAAGCCAAACGAGAAAGAGAGTGGCAGAAAAACTTTGAGGAAAGTCGAGATGGTCGTGTGGACAGCTGGCGAAACTTCCAAGCAAATACAAAGGGGAAGAAAGAGAAGAAAAATTGGACCTTCCTGAGACCACCGAAAGTAAAAATGGAGCAGCGTGAGTGACCACCTAGCGTCACAGCCACAGAACCTTCCCCCAGCTGTCTCCCTTCCTGCTTTAAAGGACTCATTCTTTCCTCCCACTTCCACCCCAACATAGAGTAGTATTTGCTTTTTAGCCCATTTTGTTTTCAATACAATTTAATATTGATCAGAGTAATTCTTTTGTACATTGAAATGAGGGGCTTGGTTAACAAAAGACCTTCCCCTTCCCCCGCCCCTAGAACAACCAGATTGGAAGGTGCCACCATTGGTGCTGCCTTCTCTTCCCACAGCCAGTAACTTAATGTTTTGTATTTCACTGAATTGTGATGGTTAGAAACTTCATGTATAGTTTGTGGAAATCATCCAATTAAACATATTGCTTAAAAAAAAAATGCATGTAGAATCACCAAAAATTACACAATTTATATTTCATATATCTTGCATATGTATATTATTCTTACCAGAACAGTAGAAATGCTACACAAACCATACTCAACTGTTTTGTTTCATTTCTGGATACACTTGTCTTACTGATGAGTAAGGCAGGACTACCAGAAAAAGAACTATGGATTGCCCTTTCTTTCTATTTCCCTGTATGGCATCATTTCAGCATAAGTGGTTGGCTAATGCAGGGAAATAATTCCAGGAAGACAGGATACAATAGGGTTCCTTGGTCATCTGTGTTTCTTGGAACCCATTGCCTTCTTGCTAAATACAAAGCAAGTCCCGGTCCTGGTGCAAAGCGTAGCCTTTTGGGACTGCCAGCTTCCCCACCTGGTCATAGACATAACACACTTACTCATGTTCTCACATGGAATCTCACTGAAATTCCATGAATTGCACATCCACCAGCCCTCATCATGCACACTCTGTGTGAATGAAGCAGCAAGGAACAGCTAAGGACATGCGTAGGGTGCAGACATCCCCTGCTCCCGCAGTGCTCACTGTCCCATCAGACGTCCCCCACAAAACACTTGTTCTTCTACTAAATGCATTGAACAAAGCACGGGACCCTTCTGAGCACCTGGCCCGTGTGTGTAACACACCCGTGAATCCAGCCTGTCTTGAAGTTGCCTAAATTTGGGTGAAACAATGTAGGAGAAACTATTAGAGTAGAAAGACAACTATACTGGGAGTTAGAAGGCTGTGGGGCCTGGTCCTGACTCTGCTATTGGCTGACTGCAACCTCAGACAAGCCATTTCATCTCTCTGGTTTTCATTAACTTCATCTGTAAAACAGGAATTGGACATAGTTTGTGGTTTAAAATTTGTTCAATTTAAGAGGCATTTATAAATCAAGAAATCCATTTTAAAGATATAATTGTAGACTTGAAAGAATTCACTCCAGAACTTCCAGAATTCCTTAGCCATTCCTTCCACCAATATATTTCTTCGGCTGTGCAATTGGATCAATGGTTTGAATGATCATCATCTTTCCTGTATTTTGGCATCTTCTTCATCCCAAAGGACTAGTAATCATCGCTAAAGGGCATATTCTTCAGTGCTAGAAGATAAAGGAAAAAAATGAGATATACATCAAAAAAAAATCCAGGG